CAATGTTATATGTTACATATATTTTAACATAAAAAAAGTACCAGGAGGGGGGTGTGCAGGGTAGAGGGGAATGAAGGGGGGAAATAGAACAACTGTGATGGCATAATCAATAAAATATATTTAAAAAAAAGAAGTACCATATTTTGCAACGTATAATGCACACTCACATTTTTGGCCCAAACTTTCAGAAAGAATCTTTTATTTAAATATTTTAATTTAATTTTTTTCCCTGGCTGGTGTAGCTCAGTAGATTGAGCTCAGGCCTGCAAACCAAAGGATCATGGTTCGATTCCCAGTCAGGGCACATGCCTGGGTTGCAGGCCAGTTCCAAGCAGGGGACACAAGAGAGGCAACCAGACATTGATATTTCTCTCCCTCTCTCCTTCTCTTCCCCTCTAAAGATAAATAAATAAAATCTTTTAAATATCTTAATTCAATTTTTACTTTTTTATATTTAGAAACAAAACTGATTATTGTATTTCAAGGTATTACTTTTCATACAGATATTGTTATATTGCTTTTTAAAAGTACACTTTTAACACATAAGCATAAATAACAGAATTAAAAACATTTATACAGATACAGAATTACTACTACCCATGTATAATGTGCAAGCTTATTTTTCCCTCAAAAATTTAGGCAAGAAAAGTGTGCATTATTCATGACCAAATATGGTAATAATCATTGAATTAATCATGGGCACTGAAGGAACAATAGAAATGAGAGAACACTATAATTTGGTGCATAAACAATCCTTTTTCTGGAAATGAATGTTACTAAATTAAATTAATATGCTAAAGAATAATTCAATAAGACAACTAATTTATAAACATACTATTTATTTAAGAAGTATAGTGAAATTATCGCTAATTTTAAAATGCACCCAGGTGGGCGATGCTCACTTCTTAGCAAGGACAGAGGACCAGAGATGCTCCATCGTTTTACTAAAGCCACACCGACTGCCCCTAGTAGAACTGGACCTTGAACATGTGCTGCTTACAGGATATTGATTCTTTCTCGTGATACCTAAAAAAAGGAAGAGATCTTATAAAAACCCCAGATACCATACAATATCACTTACATGCAGAATTTAATGAATAAAATAAACTGACAAACAAAATAGAAACAGAGGTCAGGGTACATGGCACAGACGGACAGCTGTCAGAGATGGGGGGAGGAGGAGGGTACTGGTGGCAAAGGGAGTAGCTAAAGAATATATACACATGACCCCTGGCCGCAAATGACAGTGTGGTGATGGCCAGAGGGAAGGGGAGGGCAAGGCCTGGGTGGAGGTGGGCAAAGGGGGGGATGGGGACATTTATAACACTGTCAACAATGAAAATCAAGTTTTAAAAAAGTACTGTATTAGTAATTTTATCAAAGAAAAGCCACATACGGAAACATTTTATGTGCTCAACAAATAAGCTTTTGCTGAAGACAATAATAAAGATGTTAGTTCCATTTATTGAGCATTCTATGCCAGGCATTGTTGTAAGAATTTTCTGTACAATATACTTTCAATCATCAAAGCAAACCTATGATATGAAAATCAACATTTTACAGAAGAGAAAACTGGAGATTGTAGAGGGTTTTTCAGACCCGACAATTTCCAAAGACTGTGCCGTTAACCTGTAAGCTATAGGCAGTTGGTAACTGACAAGGAAAAGTCCTAGAAACCTGGGCCATGGAGGTCAGCTCTAAGGCAGGGATGTTACTTACCTTTATAGACAGTCCTTAGCTTTAGGGGGTCAGCACAGTGGTGCCAAAGGGCAGCATCCAATTACAGCTGTGTTGAAGATGAGAGAAGAGAATTTGTGCTTTATTTAATTTATATTATAGCCAACCTGGTTCTAGTGTACTGGTCAAAACCCTAGGACAGAAGAATAATTTTAAGGAGTAAGATGAATAGCATTTTTTAAAATATTTCATTTATTTGTTTTTAGAGAGAGGGAAAGGGAAGGAGAAAGAGTGGGAGAGAAACATCAATGTGTGGTTGCCTCTCATGTGTCCACTACTGGGGACTGGCCTGCAACCCAGGCATGTGCCCTGACTGGGAATCAAACCAGAGACTCTTTGCTTCACAGGCCCATGCCCAATGCACTGAGCTACACCAGACAGGGTGATAAATAACATTCTTTAAACAGGATGTATTGATTAATAGCAACAGTCACTGAGACACTCAATGACAACTTTTAAAGAATAAGACAAACAACATTCCTTACACAAGATGTATCAATTATTAGCAAAGGTCACTGATACACTCAATTACAAGTTCCTTTAGAATGGTTGGAATTGATTAAATATATACACAGGAGCAAATGACTTGCCCTTTTAACATAAACTCTGGGTACACAAATAAAAATAACCTGCAAGATATTCATTGATAAAATTGGATGGGATGGATCGTGAAGGACCAATAATGATGATGTTCAATGTATGAGGCCTGTCCAGGAAGTATCCAGCCACATACTATGAAAAATAGAGACACTTATTGAAGAACATATAAGATACAAGAAACAGTGTACATAAGACAATGACAACTCAGTCCCCTTCAAGTAGGCACCTTGAGACCTCACACAGTTCTTCCAATTGACATCAGCTGCCCTGTCATATTTTCTTGAATCTCGTCAATCTCTTCTGAAATCTCTTCCCTTTCAAAGGTTTTGGGAAAAGCCAGAAGTCACAGGGTGCTGCATGTGGGCTGTAAAGGAGCCAAGTCGCCTGAGTGATTTGACGTGTTGCCAAAAACTCCACCCGAGTCCTGATGCTTGAGCAGTGCATGGTCGTGGTGAGGCTGCCAATCACCAGTTGCCTGTAGCTACAATCTTCTGAAGCTTTGAAATAGCTTCCTCAGAGAAATCTTCAAGCTTAACACAAAATTTGATGCAGATCCCTTGTTCTACTTGCTCAGTCATTTTGAATGCAATGGCCACACAGTACACATGCTCACTCAATGACATCTACCACCCCCACTGACTAGTACCGTGAAGTCGTCATTGTCCACACATGTACATTCCAGTGCACTCTCCTTCGCTGCCAGGTTACGTTCTTGTTATATTAACAGTGGCTTTGCTTTTTCTGGACTGACCTCATATATACAGAAAAAAACAAATCGATATTATGGGGGTGAAGGAACAAAGCTGGTTTCAAACAACAATTTTTAAAGATTAAGGTCAATATGTCAGTTCAATACATGTGTGGCATTTTGTAATCATAAAGGGCCACATATTTTTATGTTTTTTTGTCTTAATGATAAGCATGCTATCATTTGACATGCAAAACACCTGCAGAGCATAGTACATCCAATGATCATTTAGTTATAACTATAGACATGCAATTAAAGAAAATCTAGTAAATGCTAATAATACATCAAAAATATAGTTCCCTTTTTAATACTTTTCTGTTCATTTCTCTCATAGGACTAGTTAATCATACCACCTCTTATAAAATGCAGTTGCAATGTCACTGCTTACTAGTGTTAGAGATGGACTTGTCCAGACACAAGAAACAAAGTGCATAAAATCAGAGGAAGTGAACACTTGCTACATACCAGGACACTTACAAAGATGACTCATTTTATCTCAATGGAGAAAAATAATATCATTCCCATTTGCATATATAAAAACCTAAGGACAGAAAAATAATTTTCCAATACACGTTGGTACACAAATTTAATCTGCGCTCATCAGACCACAAATCCCAAACTCTTCATATTCCACACTGTTACCTAGAGAGTAGGATAGGTTCTGGGCACTTCCGGATCTAGTGTAGCCCATGAAACACACCCTCCCGTACAGAAATGGTTGCATAGGCAGCGAGTCCAAGGTGATTTTATTCTACTGGCTTATTCAGCTTATTGCGAGCTCCCACATTAAATATAATGGGGTAAAATACATTTTGGGGATTAAATGGAGATGTGGAAGCCAAATAGTTAAAGATTTTTTTTTAATTTTTTTGTGGTAAAATCTATCTGGAGTTCTAAATAACATTTAAAGTAACATTCAATTATTTAACTTATAATTAGCTATAATTAAATTGCATGGCTATCATATCATAGGCATTTATCTGCTTTAGTACGTTTTTGCTATGTGACTCAACAGAGCTGGTATAAACCTGAAATGAACAGAAATTATTAAATTGCGCACTGCACCGTGCAATGTCCATGCTAACACGAGCACCTGGAAATGCCTGACAGTGCTGCGCACGTGCTACTTGTGATTTATTAATTTATACTCCATTTGTAAAAATGCAATATTTAAAATCATTACACTTTAGAGGGAGAGAGGACCTGAAATCATTAGTGCATCCCCCTTCATTTTTGAGATATGGTGACAAACCTGCAATGATTAAATAAAGCATTTTATAGATGAACAGAATTAAATTATAATAATTTAGTATGCAATGTAGATCAATGGTATGTTAAATTCCATACAACCAGAAAACAACTTTTAATATCAAGAGAACTTAAAACTTAGAAAGATCCATTGTTATGAGGTCTTTTGTCAGTATGTTCTGAAGGGCATTGTAACCTTACATTGACAAAGATAAAATATTAAATTGTTCTCCAAAACAATAAGGTCCAACAGAATACTAATGAATATGTTAGATTTGTAAGAAAATACTGTATTCTCATGAAAACCTGGGTTCATGAAAATGATAAGCTTAGCTTTACTTATACAGAAGTAATCCTGGAAGCTTTAATGTTGTAATGAGAGTCCTTAAGAATTATCAAAATACTGATGGGCAAAAATGTGGATACATTATAACAGTGTAGGTGCTCCAAGGAATACAGGTCCGAAATAAATGTCTGAGAATCACAAGATGCTGCCAAAACTTCCGTCAGACGGCCAGCAGTGAAATCTGAGACCACTGTGTGACAAACCCTGTTCCAGACCTGTTGACTTAGATTTACTTGCACAAACAGTATTTGCTAAAGACAGGAAATAGGTGTAATATATTTAGATACCTCTCTAACCTCCTCTTTCCACTTTCCTTCCTCCTACAGATAAAGCCAACACGTATCCTTGCACAGAGAACCAACGGTAAGTGACAGTTCTTTATTTTAAGGTGAATATTGTATTATGTCAATAGATTTATGCCTTGCCAGCGGTAAAATGAGAGTAAACTAATCTATGATTTTCAAAACTCTCTTGGTAATTTTTATTGAGAGTAATGACTTTGTTATTATCTTCTTTTTAATCTAAGAAAGTAACATATAGCTTTAATATCCCAAAAGCACCTAATCAAATTTAACACCTAAATGAATTTTTTATCTTTTATTTTCAAATAAGCAATATAATTCATTACCATGTCTATGACTTTTAGAAACAATTATACTAAAACTTCCTTTAATAGGAAAATTATAAATATGGTTGTAAGTGTGTACATACTTCCAAATATTAATAATTTTACTAATATTCACGTATATCAATTTGTGTTAATATAGACATTATTCAAATGAGGATGAGAAGCTATTGTTAATAGTTTTAAATCTATCAAAATCAAAGTAGAGTACTGACCTTGAGGTAAAAAATATTCTATTAAACATTATCAGTATGAGATACAATTTCACTCATGAAATGTGCTCAACTGAAAAAAAAAAGAGGGAGACTTTTTAAAGTGTTCCAATAAAAAGTGTTCCAATAAAAGGTCAATCTACTTAAGCAGCTAACTTTGTATAAATAATTTAAAGGAAGCAATTTCCAGATAGAGCTTTTCCTAATAATAAGTGATTCTGGAGAGACAGGTACTAAAAGACCACAGAGCTACCTAAGGACAATCTGTATGGAGTTATTTACTTCATAGAGAAAAGATTTTACTTTCAAAATATTTTATGAATGCCTTTCCCCTCTGTGACTGAATGCTAGGCAGGGAGCTTAGGGACGATTTACACTGTTGCCAGAGAAGTTCTGGAGTTGCCTCTTTTCACTAGTTTAAACCAAAACCAACCTCTGCCTGGGTGACGAACCCTCTGAAGGAGAATCAGAGGAAATTCAACTGATGACATGCTTCAAGCCCAGAGTTACTTCTTCTAAGGGCGTGTTGTGAGGTCAGTGGGGGCCATTGATCTGGGCTTAGACTTGAAGAAGTAAATCAGGAGGAAGTGTTAGAACTCTCAAGCAGAACATAAAGCCCATAGTGCTAAGAATTCCAGTGATGTTTGGTAAATTCAGGCAAAGGGGAGATAATTCATCCTTGAAAAGGAAAATATAAGTTGCTCTTCAGGAACTGTCAAGGTAGGTATTATCACTTAGAAATGATAACGGATTTTCTACACAATAAAACCTAGAAATTTTGCAAACTTTGTTTAGTTCTGGCCTGGTTTCTATCCCACCGAGAAGTGGTGAAATGAAAGAAAGTAATCAGAATGAAGATTAAATATTACACCAAGAGTTTGAAATTGCTGCTTCAGATGCTTTCCTGTACTGTGAGTTGTATTTCAATGTATCTCTACCTGCAATGCACACATCACACACACACGTCAATGCTTTTAATGGCCTGCTATCTGCTCTGTACTGTTTAAATGATTTCTGTCCTTTCCTGCCAGTTTTGAGGGCTATGAGGTCAAACTGGATTTATCCCTCAGCTCTTCTGTTTGCAAGTTTATGGCATTGAATTATTAAATCTCTGATCCGGGTACAGCCTATTTGTAAACTTGGGTATTGAGTAACAGCATCTAATGCCTAGATTGTTACGAGTTTTGAATGAGCCCAAACAGAATGTCATTGTTCCGTGTGACTCACTTAGGCAAAGCAGGTGGCCCTGAAAAAGTTGTATGTAAACGTTTATCTATTTATAAATTGACTCCCTCTACAGTCACCTTTATACGTGATGCTTAAGAAGGATCTGATTTTATTTTTCTCCATATAGTGAGCTAATTTTTCTAACACTATATGCAAGATAACCTGCTCTTTCTATTAAATGGATCTTTATACTACCTTTTTGGTCTGTCTCTTCAATTTTCTGTTCACCTCCCTTAGTCCATTTGTCTGTTCCTACAATAATATCAAATTTTTGTCAACATAAGTTTAAAGTCTATCTTAATAACTAAATATAAAAAATACCCAAATTAATTCTTCTTATAAATGGTTTACTCAATTATTCATATGCCAATCAGAATTTTTATTGGAATTTTAAGAATTGTCATATTAGTTTAATTCAAATTGAAAAATAACAATGGCAGTGACATCAATCATTTTTTCTTGTTCCCAATATTAAGTGCAAGGCACCTAGTTTCTCAAGTAACTACAGTATTTGTTGTAGATATTTAATATAATGCCATTACCAAATTAATGATCTCCTCTATTTTCCTGTGTTCTTTTTTTAGCTATAACTAGGGATTGAATTTAGTAAAATACTTTTGCCACATGATTTTTTCAGTCTATTCATGTGATAATTAGACCAATGCCCTTTTTCATTTTGAAATAATCTCACAGTCCTGATACAAATTGTACTTGATCATGATATTTTAAGTGTATTTTTGAAATTGGTGTGTCGATATTTTGTGAGAATTTTTGCATGTCATTTGTGAAATGAGCCTATATATTATGTACTATTATCCTCATCTGTTTGTCGAACCAATGCCAGAATCATTTCCATTCACTGCTACTCCTCAGGTTACTTTTTGAGGAGAAACAGGCTTGGGAGGAAGCAGTCACACTATTTTATACTCATGTAACCCTAGGCGGTAGCAATGTAGGGTAGTCCACATGTCATTATTTTCTCTAGTTCTGGACACTTGCTGGAGGTTTTTATGCTTTTATGATGCTATCCTGCAGAGAATTTCACAATAAGGGGGAAACAGTGATTGTTATGAGGTAAAAGCAAGATTGTTACTGAAACTACATGATCAGTTCAGGATGCATCCTGTCCCAGGATGCAACACCTTCTTCCACTCCATACTCAACACACACATGCATCTCCCCATCCATGCCTACTAGACGTCCTGAGAGACTTAATTCTCCCCTGCTTTCCTCGCTCTTTTTGATACTTTCTTGGAAGCTATGCTTTCCTTTTGTTTCTCTCATTCCTTCAGAGTCTGTGTTAGGGTGGTAACCAGAAACCTGCCTGTATTGACATTCTGACTGCAATTGAAAGCTAAAAGCTCACTTTTTAAATGGACCATTTTATGAATTCTCCTCTTAAGAACTAAGCAAATTCTCCCTAGTTTATCATTTCAACTTCCTTATATCTAGAAAATGGACTTTTAAGGCAAGTTGGTATACCGTTTGTAAATACATAGTTTTTAATCAGTTAAGAAGCAGTGATAGGTCATTACTTTCTTTTTCATGTGAGTCTTCCAAATATTGTGGCCCTATCATCAGTGTGAGGAAGGAACAGTGTACTGCAGTTTAACTGTATCTTTTACATTTATGCTTCAGAAAGGCACAGCTTGCTTTCTGCTGTCTGTAACTGGGTAGCAATAAACCATCGACACTTGGAACTGTACATCTTTGAAATCTTTGGATCTGGCTTTTCTCTAATCCCACTTAAGAGAAATTACTAATCTCTTTGAAAAAGGAAAATTACAAATGGCAGAGTGGGAAACTGTATAAAAGGAGAGACTTGATGACTAGCATGTGGCAAACTAAGTCTTTTAAGGGAAATGATTTTAAAAGAATCTAAAGTTTGTCCCCAAGTAATAAGCAGAGGAAATGTGTAGCTACACATATTTGGAATTTGTCTACATGCAAGTAGATGACAGGGAGAAGCAGTTATTAACCCAATGTTTTCCAATGCTCTCTGTGGGACTAGACTCAATGAAAGTAAAATAAACAGTATTCTATCAGTATCTGGCAAAGGAGGGTGTTGGAGCTAAATGGTTTGGTCTTCCAGCTGGTGCTAGATCTTAATCGTATTTGCCTCACCCCTAATGCTTACTTCCTGAGGCCTGTGTTATGTAGATCTTCCCCATCCTTTTCCAAAAGCATCATAATTGGTCAGGGAAAAACCAAAAAAAAAAAAAAATGGCCTCCACCTTTGCACACATGGGAAAGGCCAAATACTTCCCACTCTAGGTGCTTGAATGATGGTTTCCCTTAATGGTATGCTAAGGCTCTGAGGATGGACAGGGATCATATCTTGTTCAGGCAATCATGTTCAGCAATATCTAGCACGCTATCCCAGACATAGTGTGTAAAACTTGATGGATGTCTGTTACAGAAAAGAACAACATCTGACTGTCATTAACTTGAAAAAAAAAAGGAGAATCTGTTTTCCTCTGTCGCTCTCAAATTCCACAGGAGGCCCGCATGTGGCCATAGCCAGAGAGATGGGCGTGCACAAGGACATCGGCCTAACAGAGTCCTCTGGGGACTTTGAAGGCTTCTGCATCTCCCACTGCTGAGCAAGCGCTGTTTAGCCAAAAGGCATTTAAAAGAACGCGATGATGGTATTCTGCCTTTTCTAAACACTCAGTCTTGCTATGGGAAAACATCTAATGTACATGAAGAAATTGAGAGAAATTAGATCCTGAGCATAATCAAAAAAAGTTCACTGGCTCAGCTTTATTTTTTTTTCATATTTTCATTTATTTTTAGAGAGGGGGGGAGGAGGGGTAAAGAGAGGAGAGAAACATGGATTGGTTGCTTCTCATACCAGCAACCCAGGAATGTGTCCTGACGGGGAATCAAACCAATGACCCTTTGTTTTGTGGGATGACACCCAACCAACTGAGCCACACCAGTCAGGTCTGGGTGGGCTTTAAATCCTCCACAGGGATAACTTCTGTGTGTTTGGAGTTAGCCTGTGAGTTTCTTTGTAGAGAGAGACTTTGAAATGTTCTTAAAGGAAGTGGCTAGAATCCAGGTTCGAGGATTAACATGATCAAAGTCATAAAAAGCATATGATCAGAGGAAAGGACAATGAAAGCATAAATCGGGAACCTATCCTGATTAAAGTAATAGAATAAAGATTATCTAATGAATGATGTCACAGGTTGGGTTTCCTAGGTAATGTTCAGAAATATGAGATGCAAGAAGTGTATTAAGGAATCGACTTGGGATTAATTCCCTGGGAGGGGAGTGGAAGGAAGCAAGATTGAACAAAAAAAATCAAGCTGTGATGTCTAATTGTAGGTTTAATGTGTAGTCTAATTGTAGGTTTCAGCCAATCAACTACTTCAGAGTGTTTCTTAAACTGAGATGTTTCAGCACTGCCTGTAGTCGGAGTGAAGGGCAAGGCCTTTACTATACCCCATGTCTGGCAGGCAGAGGATGAGGGTGCCCTGGGAAGAGAGCATGGTGTTGGACCACATGGCTGTCTATGCCAGATGCTGTTCCTGAGATTTATGCAGGCAACACTGCCAGCTAAGGGAGCAAGCATCCCAAATGATAATAAAAATAGTAATGTTAATGTTAGGACTTGCATGTACATGGTGATTTTTAATGCTTTCAAATTCTTTAATATTATCTATATTTTTAAACCTCACAAAAACTCTATGAGGCGATTCTATGTCCATGTATTTTCACTTGACAAATGAAGATTGTCAACTTCACATGCTTAAAGGTGAGCCAGGTAAAAGAGCACCAATGACACAATAGCAACAACCCAGGCTTCTTAACACTTGCTTTGTTCTCTTCATCATGATACATGTGCCAAAGTTCGAGTTTGCTTAATAGGGAGCCAGGTATCTCTGAGAAATAAAGTGGCTCTTTTTAACATTCAATTAATGTTTGCTATACAGAAATAAGTTCATTATTCTTTCTGTGTTCTTCTTTTGTGTCTTCAAATTTTCATTTTTCTTCTCTTCCTCTGTTCTACCTCAAAGCTACAATATACACAAAAATAAAACTTTTCTTATTGTCATGAGTGAAATTTTAATTGTATAGAAGAGCTTTAATTTACAAAAACACTATAGAAACACCTACACAATTTGTATTAATTATAGAACCCTTAGAGGAATATGTTATCAATTTTTAAATTTTTGTTTCAACACTTTCCCTTCCCTTTCTAGTTAATTCAATGGACATAATAGCTTTATTAAAATGCCAACAAAGTCCTTCATTAGTTCAGCAAGGTAACACAAATAAAAATTACCATAATGGGTTATGCTTTTGATTCAAAATAGATGTCCTAGGAAAATATTATTTGAGCTCTCAAAGTCTTAGGAATTGTATTTTATAGCTGAAGGTCAAGATTTGACTTAATAGCTAGTATTTTTAATTTTTTTCTAATTTTCTCAAACATGTTGAGCAATCTGCCAGGTATTTAACAGCTGCCAAAAGATTTACAGTAATGTATGACTATTTTTAAGGCTGAATACTCACTTTTTGAAACCTCATGCCCCCAATTTACTACAATTAAATGGGAAATGAATACTGAGGTTAAAGAACTCTTGGATTCTCTCTCAGCTACACACCAACTAGCAATGAGGCTGACAGGAGGTCACTTAACACCTCCAGGGCTCTGCTCTCCCCCCACTTGAGCAGCACGATGCCCCCACCCTGTTAGCTGCACCAGGCGTCCATGAAGTAACTAAGACAATTGGTCTGGAAAAGCCAGAGGCACTCTTTCAAAAGTTAACAATCGTTTTGGAATAAAGGTCTTTCCTTTTTGTCATTACTATAATGTAGACTCATTATAGAAAATGAAAAAAAAAGAGAATGTCTTATTTATCACATGAAGATAAACTCATTCTCTTGTATTTCTGTTTAATCTTGCTTGTTCTTTGCCTGGCTTTTTGTCTGAGTATTAGTTTTCCAGGAGAAGGGGATGAGGTCCTATTTCTGCTACTGTCCTTTAGAAGAATCATAATGTACTTATTTCCAGATCTATCTAGATCATCAGTACCCCTATGAAATTATTTTTTTCTGTTACCTTATCTTAAAATTGGCCCCAAACCCCTATGCCACAGAGGTTTTGTCATATACCCACGAGGGAAGCATAGCAGCCTTGAGATATGGATGCCGGGTGGTAGTCGGCGGTGCCCTTCATCTCGCTGCCTTGCTCACACATGCGCACTGGAATGCAGACCTGTTTCTCGATTTCAAACTGTTACATGCTACGGACCTTCTAACACTCTTGAAAAGTAACACATCCCTCAGATGTTAAATATGAGAATGTATATGAGTCTGCGTGGGCTGCCATGACAAATGACCACAGACTGGGCAATTTGAACAACAAATATTTATTTTCTCACAGGCCTAGAGGGTAGAAGTCTGAGACCAAGTTGCTAGAGTGGTCCGTTTCTGCTGAGATTTTTCTCACAGCCTTGGCACATGGCCTCTTCTCTGTGTGTGCTGAGGAGAGAGAGACAGAGAGAGAGAGAGACAGAGAGAGGCAGCATTCCCTGGTGTCTCCAGTCCTATCAGATCAGGGCTCATCTTCACATGCTCATTTAAACTTAAGTATCTTTTAAGGGCCAAAATATACATACAGCCTCACAGGAGGTTAGGACTTCAACCTATCAATTTTGGAGGGCACCAACTTTTATTTATAACAGGAGAATAAGGATATTCTTTATACTATTTGGTGGGGTTTTTTTTTAAACTTAATTTTGAAACATAGGCATTTCCTTCTTACAAAACCACCATAAACATAACTTTATGTCTAATATATGCTAATAAGAGGATGTAGTCTAATTTAATTAGACATTTTATCCCCCTGTAATTAAACGTGTAATTGTTTTACCAAAAATATTTACCATAAATATTTACCATAAATATTTATAAATATTTACCATATTTATAAAATATGAAAGTGTTAAAAAATATATGGCTAAACTTTTCCTAGTATATGTTATTTCCTCAGGATTCTAAAATGTTGAGTAAGTGAAACAAAAATTGTGAGCATATGGAGGGTATTAATACAGATTGGATTGGTAAGGTCATGAAGTGGTTTTCTGGTTTAAGATCCAAAAGGAAAGCATTACCTTTTTGGAAATTTGAGGCAATGTAATTTTAAAAAAATGGTTGGAGTGGAAATGAATGACACATGGACAGAGCTATGGAGAGTGGTTGAAAGGTTTTTGTTGTTGTTGTTTATTTAAATCGCTACTTCTTAGTGAATTTACCTAGGGTTCTAGGAATGGCTCATATATGAGGCAGAAGAAATGGTCCATGCTAACTGGTAGATTGAAGAGATGTTAAGGAGGGGATATTTATAAAGATAAGCAAGGAAGTTAAGGAAGCCAGCAAGGACTAGTGCAGTAGTATCCCTGTCAAAACAGTTGACAGCTATTTTTACTCCTAGACAATGGACAGTGTGAAGAAACCATGCCTAGAACATGAAAAAGTTGCTGTGTAGACAGAACTGTGGAAATAGGGTGGAATTGGATAGTGTACCTTAAGTATTTACAGGTGTACTACTTCCAGAGCTTCCGTCTAGTATATATATCTGTTTGTTCTTCATCATCCCAGCTTGAAAAGCTTGCTTCTGGGCCTGAATCCATTAGAATTCCACTGGCACCCTGTGGCAAATCTGCTCTTGTTATGTTACTAATGAATTTGGGATAACTGATGTTACATTGTTTCTTTTTTCTCCTCTCATGTTCTTCAGAAGTCCTTGCACTAAAATATCAATGCAGGTCTTTGTTTTGTTTCCCCAGCGATGGCGCTATTCCCAGCGTTGCTGTTTCTGGCTGCTGTGTTGCTTCCATTTTCTCCTGCAAATGGACGGGTATGATCGACATTGACAATATTTTCAGAACAAGTCAAGCAACCTTGGAGGACAGCAAGCTACTAGATCAATTTTCAAAAGTAAAAAGAGCTAGAGTTTCTAGAATATCACAAAGTACAGTAGTACCTAAGCACGTGAAGGTATTGAACACTGAAATATGGATAGTCAGAATTGGGATATGTGTAAACATAGTGCATAGCAGACTTCAAAGACTTAGTTTAAAAAGAGAGGTAAATTTTTTTCTTAATAATTTTAATATGGATTGCATGATGAGAGCTATATTTTAATATGCTTTAAATATAGTATATATTTAAATCTAAAATACACACAAATTTAAGTACATAAAATAGTCATAGGTACATTTAAATACATAATATATTTACATAAGTGTATGTGGATATACATATATTTTAAATATAAATATGTTTGTGTATGCATTTAGGTATATTTATTAAACATAAGTGCATTTATAAATTTATTTATATAAGTATAAATATATTTAGATACATATATTATATATTTAAATATATTATAAATATAATTTCATTTGTTTGTTTTTTATAAAGTCACCAAAAAATACAAATGACATGTGATGTTTTAATTATTTTTCTGGTAACACCACTGGTCTGTGAATTTAAAAGCTAAGAAAACTCTTCGTATCCCAAGATCTTGTCTAATTTGCTGTTATTTAACCCATTTCAATGTGACCCCCCACTGAAAATTAACAATTTGTTTATCTAATTTCAAATTAAGAAAGGTTCTTCACATATGTCACCACATTTAATTTGTATAGTTACTGTGTGAGAATAGTTACACATTTTGTTAATTTAAAAGAAGAAAATTTACTAGGGATATCAAGCCTTTGGATATTTTCATACTTTTTACAATGAACTCGTGTGAGATAAGATGCTCTAGTTGTTTCTAGTCTGCTGCTTCACCTTAATGACCCCAAGAGCAGCAACAGGGTTTCTCTTCAACTGCCGGGCAGGCTTTTCTGACCAGAAAACCTCGGAACCTGAGGAGCTTTGGACCTTGCTCTCTGTCCCCACACCCTTCCTCGGCTTTGGGTGCATAAGATTCGCTAAGACCCTTCAGACCAGAGAATTACGACACTGGATCAAACCTCATTTGGCCTTCAGAATTGAAGTCATTTTTAATCAAATTTTCAATCTAAAGACAATCATTCACCACTAAGGGCTTCATTTAAGTAGTTGTCTTCCCAATTTCATTCCTAAAGAATTTCTTTCAAGGCCATTTCTGGTTCCCTGTTATCTTTCTCATCCATCTCCTGATTTTCATTTATAAAATTATTAAAAATGGAGATATAATTAGATCTTTGGCATAATTAAGTATTTGCTGGTGCTCTACATTCCTTGTGCCTGGTGTGGTTTTCTGGGCCCCCCTCAATGTGCCCTCTTCTGTGCCCTAGAAAACACCACTCAGCTCTGGAACCCCCAGTCCAGACCACTTTTTGTGAAGTGTCTGCCACTGATGAGAATAAGTCTACCTAACACATGATCTGCTTGGGAAGGAAAGGTGGCCGATCTCTCAGAGGAAAAGGGCCAGGACCCTGTTCCTCAATGGGCTTTTATTGGGTTCAATTTGCACAGGAATACAGGTAAAACTCATCAATCAATGTCAGACAGTAATGATCAAACAATAGATAACATTCAAAGAACTATGAGGGCTTATTCTGAGATAGGGTCAGTTAGCTAACGGGCTATAAAACTTTGGAAAACAAACTCATTTTCTGCCTGGACCCTAATCAGAAAACTGAGGACGTTCTTAGCAAAGTAGTTTTCACAGGATTTTATGCATTCTTTCTTAGGCCTGATTGCCCCAGGGAACCTGCCCTTTCCAGCACAGAGCTGCACCCACCTCCAGCATTGTTTCAGGCTTAAGTCAGGCAGGGGAAGTAAGGCAGCCAAGAGATTAGGAGTCCTCATTCTATTTCAGACAGAATGAGAACTCAGGCTATGTCAAAGCCATGGGGCAAGGGTCCATCACCCCTTTTTTTCTATAGCCCCCCGAGTTCTTCCCTGAGGGCCCCTTTGTGACCTGTCTTAGGTCTTCCCTCTCCTGGGGAATCTTACTTGTCCTTGGCTAACCAGTCATCTGCCCTGGGCCAAGCAGGGTCGAGTAAAAGGGAACAGAAGCAGCATCCCTGCGTGGGAGATAAGCTTTGTCTCCTTAGTGGTTTATAGTCCCAAAATCTCTTTACTCAGCCTCAGCCATAGGCATTACAGCTTCTGAAACCTGGCAGGGCAGTTCCCAACAGTGAAGCCTTGCCTGAACCCAATGAAGAAACACTAATCCCTTCTTTTTCAACATCTCGTAGACCCTGCTGATTATTTTATTTGTCATGTGGTATTATACTCATGTATGCCATATTGTCTTTCCAATATAAATTCTTTAAGTATAAACAGATACCACATTTTATTCATCCATTTTCTTCTCAACACTCTTCATATTTCTCATCACCTAATAAAAACTTCATTAATACATATTTTAAAAGAAACAAAAATATGTCTATCTTCTTCAGTAGAATTTTTACCTGCAAAAGAAGTTGGGATAAGAAGCAAAAAAAATAATTACTTTTCCTTTCTCAAGGGACAAATTTTGATATGTTTTGAAATGAAACTATTTTAAGGAGGTTTTTGAGGATGAATAGGACATACAAAGAGATGTTATTATGTGCTGTGATCAGCCACTGCTAATATTTCACATGTGCAGCCTTTCCAATTTAGGAATAAGTAGCTGGGAATGCTTTGGATCTGTGGATACACTGGTACACTGACATTCATTCTTGGTCTCCGTGTTTAGGAACATACCAGCAGGTGGGAGAAATGGACACATTAGTAGATAGTGGCAATAGAATATGGTCAGACCTATGTTCTCAGTATTTGGAGAGGTTTGCAAAAACTCAGTACTGTGGGAGGGGAGAAGAACTTACTCCAGAGGCCCTTTTTAGACTTTTAACTTCAAATCTTGCTCATGCTCTTATAATATCACATTCTTGTGTAAATTTACGTCATCAAATTGTGTCAAGCTTATGGAACAATCACACACCTTACTCTACTTCTAGGCTTAGACACACCCAACACCCCACAAAGATACACCAAAAATATAAGCATGCAATTTACTACCTTAACTATATTTCTATTACTAAAATTAACAGTCAGCAATAATCTATTGATTGGCTGGCCTTTTCCCTCCAATTGCCTTGGAGATGTGTTTAATATGATAAAACTGTCTTTTGAATAATTCCATAAAATCTGCTATATAATAGGTAGAATCATTTACTAGAATATTCAATGCAGTTGGACGGGGCCTACACATTTTTCTTTAAATACAGATACCATGTTGGGTCAAAGTCTCCCTTAAAGTCTACATGAGTCACCTGTCTCTCTTAGCACTCCTTAGCTGTAGCTTGATTGTGAATGACAATGCCTTAACAGGTCCCATCTTAAAACATTATTATTAATTCTCGCTCATGTGTCTATAAACATCACATGAAGACATCTTTTAATACTAGCAAGTGGTATTTGTGGCCTCAGAGGTGTTTTTCATTGTCGTGACATGAACTACATCCACACTCAAAATTTGACACTGCTTCTTTCCTATTTAAAAAAGTTATAGCTTTGATTCAGACTCATTGGCAATGCATAACAATTAATATTGGTTTGAACAGAACACTTTTTTTTTATCTTCACCTGAGGACATACCTTTCAATTTTAGAGAGAGGGGAAAATGTGGAGAGAGGGCAGGAGAGAAACATCACTGGAAGAGAGAAATATTGATCCGTTGCCTCTCACACACCCCTACCAGGACCTAACCACAACCCATACATGTGCCCTGACCAGGAATTGAACCGGCAACTTTGCAGTTTGTGGGACAACTTCCATCCAACTATGGCACACCAGCCAGGGCTAAATTGAATACCTTAGAAATAATCTTTGTTTTCTTGAATTAACTTATTCACTCAGTTGCAATTTTTTAAACTTTAAAAAATAATTCTGATTTGTTTTTTCTTTAGGGTCCAAATTTTGATGCTTTGTCTACCACCCATGAAAAAGTCCAAAATGGGATTGTAAATAAACACAATGACCTCAGGAGAGCAGTCACTCCACCTGCCAGCAACATGCTGAAGATGGTAAGAGGTGGTCACAAAAGGAAAGTGGCTTGTGGAGCTGAGATGAGCACAGACTCCTAGTAAATAAGATAGCTGAGGACATTTGTGACAGGAAGTTCTGTCTTTGTTATTTTATTAAAGGTTTGTTATTGACAATGCATAATACCTTTTTTCATTCCACATGCTATTTTTGCTTATAAATTGTGTATCATACTACCATTACATGTTCACTAGAAAAATACAGTCTGGAAGAATTGATTCGCTATCATGTCCATTTCAGAGTTTCCCATCTTTTGAGTGAAATATCTCTTCCCAGAAAAAAACACATATGTAGAGTGTACTATATATAACATGTAATCATCTATTTCTATATTAATATATATAATTTGCATATAATTTTAGGGTACTTATAGAGTCATGCAGCTCATTCTTAAATCTTCCCCTAATGTTCATGTGTGCCTTCTGACCTTGATAAATTGACTTTTAGACACTTTTACCACGCATTTTCTGTTCATTTTGATTCAAAACAATTTTCTAATAAGTTCTCTGACTGTAGGCAGCTCTCTATCCAGTCTTTCTCTGAACAGTGAGTTGACCTACGTGTGATTACTAACATCGTCCTTATTATTAATGCCCACTCCACACAGGTTTCACCTTACACCCTCAACCTTTCCTCTAAGACATGTTTTCAGCTGGGGAAATTCAACTCTTGCTGATTTGAAGCTTGAAGGAACCCTCTTTAAGGAAGAGTACAGAACTATCTTACCACTGCAAATTTTTTTTTAAAATGACCATGCCTATTCTGTGGTCCCCTAGCATAACCTTAGAAGAACCTATGCAAGTGAGAGATGCAAAACTTAAGCTTAATTAGCTCCATGAGACAAGGAAGAAATTCTTAATTGTACTTTATAATGGTTAAATAACTAGTCCACTTTACAGAACTATTTCAGTTGTAGAGGAAGAATTAAAACCAAGTCTTTTGATGTCCAATAAGGGAACATTATGTTTTTCTGATCACTATCGCTCTTAATCTAGAATCAGGAAGGCCTTTTATCTTTAGGATCAATGTAATTCAGGGTAAATAATAGATAGTTCTGGGCCCATTACTAAAAACCACATCTCCCAAATGTATCCCATTGATGGGTCGAGGGAAGGAACTAGGAATGAAGTAGGCCATTTTAGTATTATAGGAGAAATAATCTCAATAGATCTACATGTTTATTGATATTAAGTTAAGAACCTCTGCCAAAAGTCTGTAGGAATGCCTGCCATGCTATCAGATATAAATTATTAACTACCTTAGGTTTTATAGTTGCTTAGGGTAGCCATACTATCTAATTTCTTTAAGAAACAGAAAAAGGCACATCAAAAAATATCTTGGACTATAAGGATATGCACGTACAGAAAAATTTACAATGATGTGAATCAACTACCCATCTCATTACAAAGCTTATGTTCCTTTGTGGTTTGAGTCGTTAAGTGCCGATCTTTTTCTCCCTCTTTCTTTTTAGAAATGGGACAGCACGGCAGCCTCAAATGCCCAAAGGTGGGCAAACCAGTGCATTTACAAACACAGTAGCGCAGGGAATCGAGTAATTGGTATGTACACTGATACATTTTTATTGAGTAGATAAACAAGTGAAATAAGGGGCCATGTGTTTTGATGTTGCATCACAAAATCTTGTGAATAAATGTTGCTTCAGATGCTGCATTTTTCAAGTTGAAGTATCTCTCTGAGAGAAAACTCCAGAGAAGCACCACTCTGTGCTTATGCTTTTATCTTTTACAAAATCTGTCTCACACAATGTCACATTCATACCTCTTAACCATCTGTTAACAGGAAAGAAAATTATTTTCCTGTTAACCACTGTTAGCAGGAAAATAATTCCTAAGAAGTGTCATATCTGGAAAATTTAGAATTAGAATTTCATACATCTAATCCACTGTCAATGTCATATTACAGAGTTTTTTTAAGTATTTATTTTTGAATTTATAAAATATGTTGCATTTTATCACACCGTTTCTGAATTTTACTCAAAACGATTTAGCATTAACATCTTTTTTTTTTTCCTTCTGGCTTTTTAAAAATTTTTATTTTAGTTGTTGTTCGAGTACGGTTTTCTGTCTTTTACTCCTATCCCAGCCCACCTCCCCAGTCCTCCCCACCTCCCTCTCATTTCCACCCCTCTTAGTTTTTGTCCATATGTCTTTTATACTTGCTCCTATAAACCCTTCCCCTTTTCCCCTGCAATTCCCCGCCTCTCTGGTCACTGCCAGCCTGTTCTCTATTTCAGTATCTTTGGTTATATTTTGCATGTTTGTTTGTTTTGTTGTTTTTAGGTTCCTGTTAAAGGTGAGATCATATATATATATAATTTTTTTTACCTACTGGCTTATTTCACATAGCATAATGCTTTCCAGTTCCCTCCATATTGTTGCAAAGGGTAGGAGCTCCTTCTTTCTTTCTGTTGCATAGAATTCCATTGTGTAAATGTACCATAGTTTTTTGATCCACTCGTTTACTGATGGGCACCTAGGTTGCTTCCAACACTTAGCTATTATAAATTGTGCTGCTATGAATGTTGGGGTGCATAGGTTCTCTTGGACTGATCTTTTAAATTTTTGATGACAATGAGTCAAGTCTTTTGTATGTTCTGGATGCCTCTTACCATGCATGCAGTACTATATTAGACTCAAAATAGCCTTAGAGACAATGACCTCTACATAAAGGGACCTAAAAACAATTATATACCATATGTATGAGCAAGTAAACAAAATATTCACTTAAATTATTAAATGACACATATAGAGAAGTCCAATTTGAAAGTAGTAAATAACTCACCTGTTTTGAGAATAGAATTGCCATTATTTGTATTTTTGATACAATAATTCAATGAAATTATGAAGAGGTATGACTATATTCAGTAGAAGATTGAAACAAATGGTTTTTAAGATTCCAGTCTACTGTTAGCATCTCAGCTCATTTCTTTTCCTCTTACAAGAGCTATTTGAGAGTTTACTTACTTTCAAGATTTACAAAATTCATTAAAATATTTCTGGGCTGCAGAGCATTTTTATCCTAATTCTTTGAGGAGAAGTTGGCCTGTGCCATTCTGATTTGATGATGAAGGGGAGACCCATAAACTTCGAAAATATTGTCCCTCCCACTTTCACATGTTTCGTGCTTAGGGCTCTAAGACTAAGATTTTTTTCAAAATGTACAAAAAACAACTCTTAACATTTATTAAAGTTGCTATCAATGATAAGTTTCTGGTAAGTGTGGTTTAGGGTAGGAGAAATGTTATGACTTGCTTTCCACTTCCAGCAAGCCAACAGTGTGCAGCTGAGAGCACATGACTGACATTCATGAAGAATTTACTATGTGAATGAATGTTTCTAGGGGAGTAGATGTTAAAGAAGGAGGACTTCATCCATTCACAATCTGCACATTGAGACCAGCATCAGTGTATTGGGTACATATGGCTTCTATTCAGCTTATAGCTGATAAGGAACTCTTTGTGCATTGATCAGCAGTTAGCAATAACTATGAACACTGTGTCTGAAGAACAGTGATTCTAATAGCATAGATAGATAGATAGATAGATAGATAGATAGATAGATAGATAGATACATAGATCTTATAGATCTATGTATCTATCATCTATCTATCTATCTATCTATCTATCTATCTATCTATCTATCTATCTCTCTATCATCTATCCAGGCATATATATACCATTGCATGCTTTTTTGCTTACCTCAGGAATGATCTGTTTCTTCTTAGGTGAAAAGAAATGTGGTGAGAATCTCTTTATGTCAAGTAGCCCTACTTTATGGTCCCATGTAATCCAAAGTTGGTTCGATGAGAAAAATGATTTTATCTACGGTGTAGGGCCAAAACGTCCCAATGCAGTGATCGGGCATTATACCCAGGTAAGGAAAACAAGTGAAAAAAAGCTGCTGTAAATGCCCTGAAAAGAAAGCCTCTCCAAATTTTGACTGATTCCAATATGGAATCTGGGGGAAGATCTGAAATAGGTAAAGGACAGTCCTCCCATTTTGTGGGTATTTCAGCTGTGAGCTGTCACTTGTCAAAAGCCTGCAGGCTCTTGGTAGGGAAACATACTCCATATTTTTTGAGTAGTCTAAATGGATAATGTAGTTAACATACATGAAATGAACTGTTTGAAAGATTTTTAACTCAATTCAATAATTTAAATGTTTCCATAAGTTATATGTAATCATAATATATCAGTAACATTTTTCCTTTCTCATTTCCTATTATTCTTTTTTTTTTTGATGTTTCCTTCTCTAATATACGCTCGTATCTTCACTTATGGGCATGTAGGTTGTTTGGTACTCATCTTTCCTTGTTGGATGTGGAGTTGCCTATTGTCCCAATCAAACAAGACTAAAATACTATTTTGTCTGCCAATATTGTTCTGCGTAAGTATATGCTTTCAAATTTGCTGTCGAAGGTGCTATAGGCAACTTAATATTTTAAGTTTATTATGCATTAGACAACCCAGACTGAAAAAGCATATTTCCATGAAGGAAAGAGATTAAACTTTAGAAAGCTTTTCTAAATTTGAGACACAACCAACTTCTCAGAAAGAAGACCAACTTCTCAGTTTGAAGTGTAATATCTGAAGCCTTCTCCCTCGTGATTAAAATTATTTGTCTTCCCACTCAGTTGCTTTCCTGATGCCCAGGGTTCCATGGATATATGTTATACGTGGTTGTCTAGATTTAGTACTGTCAGTCTTTATTAATCTACATTCTAGAAAATGAAAGCTTGATGGTCCAAGGATCAAGGTGAGGTAACAAACAGTACTCAAATATTCTTTGTACACAAATGTTCTTACTGTTAGTTATCTAAAATACCTGTAGTATACCATTAAGAACTGATGACATCTTGGGCTTCAAAAGGTTTTCAGAAAGTTCCTAATATATTTCAAATTATCAAGAAAAGGTAATATCTTAAGTCTTTATTTTTTAGAATTTAACACAAAATCTCTGAAGGAAACATCCAATAAAATCTTGATTTATAGCAAGAAATATAGCCCTACCTACCTACCTTTCAAATATATTTGACTTATCCACAAAAAATTCTATGAGTATAGTGAAGATATATTTATAATATACAGGTTACGTTCAATGTTTCAAACTCCTTGCTGCTGGAGGGAGAGTTTTCCCCCCAACCAAGCTTCCTACATGATTTATTTAATTTTTTAAAAGATTTTATTTATTTATCTTTAGAGGGGACGGGAAGGAGAGAGGGAGAGAAATATCAATGTATGGTTACCTCTCATATGTCCCTTGCTGGGAACTGGCCTGCAACCCAGGCATGTGCCCTGACCAGGAATCGAACCATGGTTGTTTGGTTTGCAGACCCATGCTCAATCCACTGAGCTACACCAGCCAGGGCATCTACATGATTTATTTGAAAACTATAGATCAGCCAGGTGAAGTTGGGCTCCAGTTTGAGAAGTATGACCTTCAAAGTCATTTTCCTCCAAGCACCAGTTAGGGTTTGATAGAAAGAATTGAAATGCCCTAAGAGAATACACCCAAGCCCACCATCTGGCTGTGAGAGGAGAGGCAACTAGAACAAGTTATCTGGTAAAAGCTGAAATGAATAACAAGAAAAGTAAGAGTGAAAGAACTTGTAAAATATTTTATATATATATATTTCACAAAAGCTCACATACCTTCATAGCTATAGTTTGTGCAAGAAGACTGAAATTCAGATGCATTGCCATAGGTCTTTGAACCACTGGGTCCAAATGAAACTTTGACTCTGTTGTATTTTCAACTAATAACAGCCAATTGGTTAATAATGATCAATGAAGCACAGGCTGGTTATTGTAAGACCACTTGACCCTGGAGGTTAGTGGTAATGAAACCTTCCTTTCTAACATTCCCATTTTTAGTAAACATAGAAACCTCACATACAAAACCTCTAGACATTCCAAATCCTTCCTACCATATCCACTTCTCACAAAATACCTGAAAATGTCACCGGCCTGCATCTAGAGGCCAAAAATTATCTTGAAGCATTACTTTTTCCAGTTCATTGTATAGAACTTATCGATAACTTGAGTTTCCTTTTAAAATATAAAATTACATAGAATATTAAATATTTTCCATAATGCAACCTTCTGCCCCCCAAGAGATTCTAGTATCTCTCACAGGGATGTTCACTCACTCTTTTGGTGTCTTTGTGTCATACTGGAAGAAGAGTTGTTTTGGGCCACACATTAAATACATTGTGACACATAATCATGAAAAAATATATCTCATAATGTTTTAAGTAAATTGACCATTTTGTGTTGGGCTGCATTCATAGCCACTCTGGGCCACGTGTGGCTCTCAGGCTGTGGGTAGGACATCCCTGCAGAGGATGTGCTTCACCTGTAGTCAGCACCTTCGGAAGCATGGCCTTAGCAAGGTGACCAAGTCTACTGGTAGATGAAGAGTGTTGCCACAGTAAAATATACTCTCAAAACTTTAGACCCCATTTACTCCATTTCAGTTGCTCAGATGTGAGATTATGGTCAAGGGAGTATTGGTGTGAATTACTCTTTTACTTTGCATGACTGTCTAAGTATGCATTGGGAATATTCATTTTTCAGGTGGCATGATTAAAACATTGAGTAAATATTCAAATATATGTGATGGATGCTACCCTTGGAGCATAAAGTGAACTAAAAATTTTAAAGAAGTGTTTGATGTGTTATATTTCATATTTCAGTGGTAATATTATCAGCAGACAGTATACTCCTTACCTACAAGGAACACCCTGTGCCAGCTGCCCTAATCACTGTGACAATGGACTGTGCAGTAAGTTTGAAGTCACTAATTTACTAGTGTAATTAAATGACCTGATATTTCTTTTGAAAAGTTAGGAAATCTTCTGAAAGGAGCCAACTTGAGCAATGCCTTTATGCACAAGACAACAGTAGCATTACTCAACAGTGGGTGTTTAAGCAAAAATCTTATATCAGTTAGTACATATATGCATTATTTGCAATGAAAGCCCATTGCCATAGGTAACCTAAAGGAGCATCTACCATCTAGGTGTATCTGTGACTATGTCAAACCCATTTCATATTGGCATATATGACGATGTTTCTGTGAACATAATTTATTGTAGTTAAATATGAATTTTCTTTTTATCAAAGTTAATGTTATTATAGAAAAGGTTGCATTTTAAAAAGATACTAGGTACAAATATAAAGGTGTGAGGCCACAGATATAGCTCAGTCTGGACAGGCACACCAAATATAATCCTTTATATGCCAATGAGTTCATCATAGTACATTCTTCATTTTTCTCATAGTATAGTTAGAATCATCAAGTTTAATTGAATAATAATTTGCACTCTTGTTTGGTATAACTTTTATGTACTTTTAAAATTTCTACCAAACCTGCATATGGTATTATTAGCTAACAGAAGCTTCAAAGCTATTTTAACACAAAGGAGTAAAATTAATGTCAAATATCTGCTTCCCAGTGTTGTTATGAATTAATGTACAAAGAGTTGGTATTTTTGTTTAGTTGGGATGTATTATTAGAATTATTATGAACAATACAATTGACCCATTAAGTAGAATTTTTACTTCTCAAATGCATTCATCTAGTCAATTGTAGCATTCTTTCTGAGTGAAATATGTAGCCATAATTCAGAATATTGATGATATAAAATCTATAAATTAACTAAAGAAGAAAATACTTATGCCTCTGTGGAATACTATTTGTTAATTTTGGAATTTTTTCCTATTAGTAATAAGTAGCCAGTTGAAGGATTTTAGACAGAAGAGTGATAAGATCAAAAATGTGTTTTATAAAAAGTTCCTGGCAGTGTGAAGAAAACATTGGATAGAAACCAGTTGAGATACTGTTGAGACACATGGATTCAAAATCAGATGGATATTTTTACTGTATTAAGGTGAAGTAAATGAAGATAAATGGACAGTTTATGAAAGACAGAGAAAGTAGAATAGCCAGTATTTGTTATCTAAGCTTTTTAAGCTCAGATAAAAGTAGAGGGGGGGTGAGTTTACGTTGATTCCTAGTTCCTGGTTTGAATTGTTTAGTGGTGGGGAATGCCATTTCTTTGAGACTGGGTGAATCAAGCTGGGAGCTGGGGAGAGACACCAAAGAAATGCCAAGCTTGTAGGCAGTGTGATTAGTCTAGTTTGAAATTTGTTGAGGTTTTGGCCATTGAGTGACACCCAGGTGGAAATGTCCAATAATAATATTAAAGCTTCTTTCTGTTTTACTTTTTACATTTACTTCTTCTTATAACAACTCCTTACTCCTGAAAGAAAGGCTTGATGGCATTAGAATCTGGTGACAAGAGCGCCCAACGTAACTTTCTGCAATGACAGAAACATTCAATTTCTGACTGTCCTGCAAAGTATCCCCTAAACACATTGGCTATTGAACACTTGAAATGTAACTAGTATATATCACTGAGGACCTGAAATTTCAAAGCAAATGAATTAATTTAAATTTAAATTTTTTAAAAAAGCAACACATGGCTATTGGCTATACTTTTGGTTGGTGCAGTTTTAGAGAGATTCATTTATGGTAAATTCATTTTATCCTTTTTTATGAGGGAGGAAAATTGGTCAATTATTTTAGAAACATTTGGGAAAGCTCAAATTTAGAAAGAAATGATGCCTTAATCAGTGAATTTAACTAAGGGGACTTATGTGTCCCTCAAGATATGAAACAGCCATCAGAGAGAAATGAATGATGCCAATTTTTTTGCTCTATTCCCCCCTCCTCCCTGACATGGGATTTAGTGTTTGTGTTACTGCTGTGGAGGATAATGATAATGAAGTTACTAATTTTCTGTTTTTTATTCCAGCCAATACTTGCAAGTATGAAGATGCTTTTAGTAACTGTAAAAATTTGAAGAACCAAGTGGGTTGTGGAAATAAACTCACCAAGGGTAATTGCAAGGCTTCCTGCAATTGTCCAGGCAAAATTTATTAAAAACAAATGCCCAATACAGATGGAACATGGCTAAGTGGAGGAGAGCTACATCTACTTACACTTGACATTTATTAGCTAGGAAATCATAGACATGTTAGCTATAAATTTGATTTTAAATAATAATGTCTTTTTTTCTGCATTTGTTCTTAACATCCCAAAATGTGTTCACATACAGGGTCTTTAATTCCTCATCTGCCATTTACCCTTCTCACTCATCTAGCTTCCATCCTTGTAACTAAATTAAAATTTTTCTTTCTAAGGTAACCCCCACCTTCATTTTGCCAAAAATCAACCTTTGTTTTGCCAAAATTCTTCATATGCATAAATAGAAGACCACACATTCCTATTTACACCTCTCCTCTTAGACAAACCTTCCTTAAAGAAGAATTTAATATAATACACACAAATACTCTTTCCTCCAGGAGATAGAACTTAATCCCCTCCCTGTTGATTCTGGACTGAGCTCAGTGACTCATTTTCAAAGAGTGAATTGTGGAAAGGGGACAACATAACTACACAGAGAAATCTGGCAAATGTTATCTTAACCAAGTGATCGAAGTTAGCATCTATTGGAATAAGTCACGTGAACTCATGTACCCATTCACATGAGGCAATTAGGAAGTCATTTCACTGCTGGGGTAATCTTTCTAAAAGCTTATAACCCAAGAGTTATCGTGACATAAAATATTAGGCAGACTTAAACTGAGGGACGTTCTACAAAATACCTCTAACCTGGAATCCTCTAAACTGTTGAAACCATGAACAACAAGGAAATTTGGAGAAACCATGATAGACCAGAAGAGACGAAGCAAATATGAGGACCAAAGACAATGTAGTATTTTGGATTGGATTCTGGAACAGAAAAATAGTCATGAATGGAAAAACTGCTGAAATCTGAATAGACTCTGTAGTGTTTTTAATAGCAATATTGATTTCTTAGTCTTTACAACTGTATTAGGGTATGTAAGATGCTAACATTATGGGAAACTCAAGCCTGATGTGGTGTATGTAGAAACCATCTGTACTATCTCAACAACACTTCTGAGTCAGAAAGATTCCAAAATAAAACATGCATTAAAAGCAGAAAATCTATTTTTCTTGGCTCCATGACACTTCATACTTGTTCTCTAGATTATCTGGTTATACTTTTTCAGACTCCTCTGTCCCCCTAAGTTTGAATTTTGCTACTTCATTGCTAAATGTTTGATTTTGTATTTTGAAGAACTCTCAGATAATACCAATGATTGAGACTGTCAAATCAAACGCACACACTTATCCAGTGTCGAGCTCCCTAATCATTTCAAAGATATCAGTCACAAAGTAAAGGCAAAACGAGGAAAGGTCCAAGGCTGCCATTGCAACCCCCAGATGTTGTTTTTTTCTTTTTTCTTTTTTTCAGCACATTTCTTAACCTCTAAAATGATAGATTTCCTAATTAATCTAATTTCAAAACCTTCGCATAGACCTCTTAAGTACAGAGGATGATATTTGTATTCAAACTGATAGGCAAGAGGCTAAATCATCTTTTCTATACTTTCCTATCCAATCTCCATTCAACCCACCCCACCCTCCATTAAATCTTATGCTCCAAATTCAACGATCTTATTATATTCTCTCAAGAGCCTCAAGATTATTCTCAGTTGAGGGCTTTTGTATTTGCTATTGGCTCTGTGTGGAAGAGTCATCCCTCTATTATTTCTAGACTGGTTCCTTCACATTAAATGTCACTTCATCCGATGTCCCCTTGTTCCCTCTTAGAGCTTCCTAGACCTCCTTTCATAATAATAATCACAATGTGTAATAATTTATTACTGCATTTAACAAATATTTATCTGAAACAATTATGGCTCAGGCATTTAATTAGGTCCTTTGGAAATAGTGATTAACAAGAAAGGCCAAGCTCCAAACCTCATGGAGTTCAGACTCTAACAGGGCAGAGGGAAAGAAAACTAAGTATTTGCAAATGAATCCTAATAAAATATAAAAAGTAATTAATTCCATATACTAAAATAAGAGAATAAAGAATGATGGGAATAGACTGAGAGGAAGAAGGGTTAATTTAGATAAGATAGATACTAAATGCTCTCTGAGGTGATGACATTGGATTACAGACACAATGGAAGTAAGAAAACAGTAACAACAAAAGGTCAGGATACTTTTATGCAAAGATTGAGTGCAAAGTTGCTGAGGTAAGAATAAATCTGGTATATTTAAGGGAAGTCAAGAAGTCTAGAATGGCTGAGCACAGTGAGCAAGGTAAAGATAATGTTAAAAAGGGGTCAGAGAATAAATTTAGCCGCATGGTACCCTCTAGGGCAAGTACAGAATTGTAATATTACTATAAGTTAGCAGTAAGATATGAATTGTAAGAAGACAAAATAGAGCAAAAAAGTACTTAAGAGACTGTTGACTAAAAGAGAGATAAAGCTAAATTTCACTAGAGTATAAATGTGTTTTTATGTATATGTACATACACTCATATGTCTATCATATATATTCCACAATTAATTCAGGGTTTTTTTGTTTATGTCATGACAGGAAATTAAACAACTATTTCCAGCTTAGGCTAGTACTACCTTATACCAAAGCCAAAGTCATCACAAGAAAAGGAAACTGTAGACTCTTATTTCTCATGAACATAAATGAAACATATAAAAAGGATTACATACCATGACAAAGTAAGGTTGTTCCAGTATGAAAGGTTGTTTCAACAGTCACAATTATTTAATGTGGTATACCATATTCATAAAATAAAGAGAGAATCATCACAAAGGATGCAAAAATGCACTCAACAAAATTCAGCACCTTTCATAAAACAATTTTCAGAAAACTAGAAATAGGAAGTAACTTCCTCACCTTAATAAGGAACATTTAACAAACTCTTCTAGCTAACATTATACTTAGTGATTGAATGCTTTCTCTGTATATTACTTTATAGGTAAGTACATGCTTGTAGTACTTTTCAATCTGGAATTCACTATAAGAAATAAAGCAAGGATGCCGATGTGTACCACGTGGTTCACATTCTAAGTTTACAGCTAATGCAATAAAATAAAAGGAAAAAATTAAAGGTATATAGATTAGAAAGGTAGAAACACTTTACTTGCAGATTAAAATGACTTTCCTTGTAGAAAATCCAAATGAATCCATAAAAAAACAACTACTAGAACTAATAAGCAAGTTTAGCAGAGTCACCAGATTACAAGGCAGAATGTGCAGCATCTCACAAACAAAGAAACAGGACAAGAATTACAGTGGGCTTCTCATCAGAATCCATGCAGGAATCCAGTTCTTTCAACTCTCAGGCATCTAGACCACTGCTCCTTTCAGCTCAACACTCAGCCAACTTGGGTTTTGCATGAGTATGTAGACACACCTGCACTGTTCCTGTCAATAATGAAGAGAAGTTTCTATGTGCTTTCCAACATGTATAGGATCTTAACCTATAATCTTTTTAAAATCTAGATTTGCCCTCTAAACCAAATTTATCAGCACTGCTTTTTTTGTTTGTTTTTTCACATGCCACCCTTTTGTCCTATTTCTACTACTCTAAAATTAATATGGGAAATTCTCACTACACTTTTATTTTTCCCAACACCAATGTCTTAGCTCCACAAATCACCCTGCGCAGTGCTAGCAGTATCTTTCTTGAAATAATACTTGATCATGTAATTTCCCAACTCTCTATACATCAGTGAAATTACTACTTTCCCATGTTATACAAAGAAGCAAATCCAGTTAGACTTCTTAGACAGAGTTTCCCCAACATTTTCCAGAGCCTATCATTCTGATAATATCAACTCACAAAACTCTCAAAAATGTATGTATGTCCTGTTTTAACCACTTAGCACTAAACTGTACTACCCAGTAATATTCATGTGTATTTTCTCATTATCTTTCACACAGGGCTACACATCTTAGAAAACAGAGATGACATGCCATTTTCTCTGAATTCCCTAAAAATCTAAGTCAGGCCAATATATATTGATGGAACTAATCTTTACAAGCTGCCACCTACGTAACTAATATTGTGTTAAGCTTTGGAAATACATCAATAATCAGGAGAAACAGTCAATTTCTCAAATACAGGGGTGGGCAAAAATAGTTTCACAGTTGTGAGTAAAGGAAACATAGTTTATTCTTATATTATTATTTATGAGTTATTATAATAGTTTCCACACTAACAACTTTAAACCTACTTTGGCCCACCCCGTATGTGTGCACTGACATTATCACTACGATACTCAAGTTGCTCTCATTTTGGCATTATTCATGGGAACAAATAATAATCTTGGAGGTATCATGCCTCCAAGAATGAAAAGTAGGATAGTCACAGTAAATTATAGATTACTATAGGATAACAATGGATTGTTTTGCCCTAGAAAAAGAACACTGTACCAAACAATTCTTTCTCTAAAAGATAAGCAGCAACTTCATGGCTATAAGTATTTGAAATGTTAAATTAATAATCTAAACAAAATATGATGAAAACATAAATATAGCAGTAAGAGAGATCTGGGGATGGATTTTATAAGCATTTAGAAATGACAACTCAGGAGTCAACTTTGATTTAATGTAAACATAAAACTGAAATAATAGAAGATGACTTATAAATTTCAAGATTTTTGTCTGTTGTAATTGAATTGAAATGGGAGAGAAGAACTAAAACAATGTCTGTGCATTTGTCACTTGGAGTTTTAACATTGCAAAGGGAAAACGGCACTCAGCACCATGAAACCACGCAATGATAGAATTGTGCCTCCGTGAATCTTCAAGGGCTGAGAGAAATTTTAAGCCTCTTGGTACCGGGTACACAGAGGTAATGTGTGGTGGGTGATAATCCTTGGTTTGACATCTTTTGACCCAACCCATCTTCTAAGTAATAAATTAACTCATTTCTTTAAATCTCGAAAACAGCTAAGCACAGAAGAAAATGCATCTAAGTCATCTGTCCTCTGCAAAGAGAGGCAACACGTCTTCAACCAATGCCCTACATAAAACTGTGTTAAGCTTTGGAAATACAGCAATAATCCTTGGATTGTAATTGAAGCCAGCAGCCTTGGATTAGTAATTCTGGACATTTTCTTAAAATGTATTCCTTTTATGCTCCTTGAATTTCCTGACCACAAAACAATTATGGAAATGAAAAAGCAGGACCAAGACAGGAGGAGTTTATGAGCAAACCTGCAAACGCCAATTTTATTTATATAACCTTGAGTGCATTATTCTCACTACCCTGGCATTGTGCTGAAATCTTAAGTATCTATAGAATTTTCCAATCTTCTCTTTAAATTCTGCCCCATGCTAACTCAGGAGATCTTTTCTCTCAAGGGATACCTTCCTTTCAGCCACGCCCCCGGGCATTTCACATCCTGATCAAACTCCATCCTAGTACTGTTCAGGTATGTGAACAGACTCTTATCTTCCTCATTAAGTAATGGTAATGAGAGAAAAAAAGCAGAACTCTGCTTTCTACAAGAGATAGTGTGTAGGATTTTCCCCAGTGCAGCCCTAGAGGGAGCTGGGTAAGTTGCAGGAAGAACTTGGTTAGCGGCTGACGTCACACTGAAGGCACAAAGCCCCGTGACGTCATGCGCACACGTTGGCTGGCTGGGTGCGTTACACGAGCTGTAGGAGGGGCCTGCTGCAGCTTGTCTGTGGCTCCCCCCCGAGGCAAGAAGATCTGGGCTCTGGAGCCTGGGTAAGAAGTGCACAGACTGGGAAACTGGAAATGACCAGGGTTGTGGAGGTTGGGTAAAGATGGAGGAGGGAAAGGTCTGTGAGGTTGCTGAGGGGTCTTCTGATCCTTCATGCTTCTTCTGGCGCTCCGATGCCCATCGTTGTCTGAACTGGTGCACAGGGTACAGTGTTTCCTTCTGTCGATTAGTGCCCATCCAGCAAAGACTTCTGGCATTTCTCTTTACATTCATCCTATAGAAACTCTTTACCTATCTTAAATGGTAAATCATTCTCTTCACATGAAAAGCTCTAAGTCATAGCAGGAGCCTGGAGTCCTTTCTAAATCTGGCCTTTCACAGTGTCAAATTGAGAACTTTAGCTCCTTATGTTTTAAATGCTTTAAATTGTGACTGTTGAATCTTCAGGACTTGATGTCATCTACTTTCTTCCAGGAAAAGACAAAAAGGCACGTCTTTATGCAGAGAAATAAAGGCATGGCCTCAATTCTGTGTTTTAAATGCTCACTATGTGAGTGACTACTTACAGAATTTGTCTTCTAAAGAGTATCTGAGTTAGAGGCTTAGATAAGGAGTCAGGAATCTTGAAAACAGGCTGAGATATTCCAAGGAAGTCAACCAATGCAACCCTTTTGTTAGTATTCAAGTGAAATACCAGGACATCAAAACAATCTGATCTCAGAAGGCAATTATGGTCTTAATGGTGAGATTAAATTAATACAGTAAAGTGTTAGAGAACAATACTAAACAGCCATGTCAAGTTTTAAGTTTGCAGCAGAGATTATACCTATTCTTCACATCTTTGTTTTAAACGTCTTCTTATTGCCTGTTTCAGGGTTGAGGAACTGCACACCATGCTCCACCTGTAGACCCCCGAGCAGAACCATCAGATCCTGGTTTTAAAACACCTGCAACAAAGGGCACAGTACTTTTCTATTAGTAAGTAATGAGGGCGGAAATGTCAGCCAGCCTTTTCAATTCTCTATGAATATGGGTTTGAAGGAATAAAATAGGAATTTTCTTCCATAAGTATACTCTCACTGAAAATGTTATTGCTGTCACTGGTGCAACAAAGATGATTATAGGTTGGGTGAGTGAGGTGTGGAGAGGGCCAGGAAGGGGTATGTGGCACTATGTTGTGTTGAATGATGGGAATCATGGGTCATCTAATGCAAACCTAGAGAATGATTGAGCTTTATAAACTCTTCAGGCTCGTGTATGTCTTTCAATGAGCTGACAAGGATACAACAGCCAAGTGTTAGGTCATTTTTCTAAAGTTAACAAGGAGATCTCTGTTAGAACTGGGCCTTACATGTAAGAATCTTTGATTAGAATATACTGATTTTTTTCTATGACACTTGGAATTATAAACACTTTAAAACACCAAGTCTTGGTTGTGGGTGAGTCCCATTTCCAAACTGCGGGCTCTGTCCATGGCTGGGTGGGGAGGTGGAGGATGGAAGTGGGCTTATCAGCCATTACCTTCTATCTAGCCAGCGCCAGCAGCCCTGTGGTGGTGACAACGATGGACCTGGAGCCAGTGAGCTCTTCTGAAGGAGGAGAAGGGGTCACAGTCTTGGGAGCTGCTGCCGTGCAGGCATTCAGGGATGTGGCATGGCAAAAGAGTAAGGAAAGAGACTTTGAAAATGTAGAGCTGGGAGTCACCAGGACAAAGAAGAAAGTCCCAAGGAGGGTCATCCACTTTGTCAGTGGTGAAACAATGGAAGAATACAGCACAGATGAAGAGGACGTTGATGGTCTGGAAAAGAAAGATGATTTGCCTAATGTTGATCCGAAAAGGCTTACCTGGGGCCCGTATTTATGCTTTCACATGCACCGCGCTGCTACATCAACCCTCTCGGCGTGTGACTTTCTTGGAAAGAGGATTGCATCTGTTTTTGGCATAAGGAGCCCAAAACACCAATACACCATTGATGAGGGTTACCAGATGAAGAGGGAGGAAGAAAAGGAAGAAGACGGGATGCCTGAAGAGGTAGAAAAACAGCATCAACAACACCAGGCTGGCTCCACTGTTCAGACAGATCAACCAGAAACAGCGATATCCAGTTCATTTGTGAATCTCAGTTTGGAAATGGAGGGAGATTGTGAAGGAATTACAGAAAGCAAACAAAATTCAGTCTCTGTCCCACCATAAAGTGAAAAGACTCTCAAACTTCAAACCCTAAGGGGGTCTTTATACCAGGAACATTCACATTCTCTAGTCAGTGGGATTTAATATGTTAGTTATTACATGGAAAGGGGAAAATGGTTCTTTATTCTTAGGCTCTATCCACCAAAAGTCAGATCTGAAATTTAGATATTTGTGCTATGCTTTTACTGTGTGTAAAATTAGTACTTTGGTTTTAAAATGATCTTTATAAAAAAAGTTAAGGACATTTTACAGCCCAATTTCCAATTAAAAAGAGTTACATTATCAAGCTTGTCTGTTATTTGTGTTTGTAAAAAAAAGTAGGGAAGTTACTAATAAAGGCTAATTGAAGTTGATATTCCTAATCTCAGATGAAAATGAGGATTTTCTCCAAATACATTTTATACTATATCTTTACATTTACATATGTAACCATTAATTTTATAGGATGGTTCACTGAGTGTGTAATAAAAGAAGCAAGTTAAAAACACTTTGAATTTTCCTTCCTCAAGAATAGCTTTATTTTATGGGAAAGGTGATTGAGTTCATAACACCAACTTTTAAGATGGGATTCCTTTTTTTTAATGCAGGTTACTTAATCTTATATTCTCTTTTCAGTAGTTATTCAAATTAAATAAATAACTTTGAACATAATGCTAAAAATACTAGTTATTAAATAAATTTATTAATGGGTTATTTTCAAGTGGTAATACCTAGTGATTATCCAGATGGCATCCTGGTTATGGGCCAAGTAGTTGCAGGGAGGGGTTGGAATGGGGGGACAGGTGAAGACTGAGTCCTTCAGAGGCCCACTGTTAATTAAATATTGCACAAGGTGCCGTGGTAGCATAATGAAGGTACTTGTTGTTCACCATTTAAGTAGCAACAGTAAAGTGGACCGTTTACCTGACCCAGGTTGATCTTCTCTCTACTCACTGTGCTATTAGCCAAGCTTATAAAAGTATTGTGTGAAACTAATTTTGAAAATATTTCTAAATATGTGTTCAGAATCTTAGGAGGTATTGTATGACTTCGATTTATAGCTAAGTGAGTAAAGAAGAATGTGTGGCATATTTCAGATAATGCTGCTCTTAAAAGCCCCTTCACAAATATGGGAGTTTTTGGAAATTAATAGTTGCCATCTAAACAGCATTAAGCTTTCAATGTTAAATGTATTTATATAAAACACAAGAAACTGAAAGCATAGATACAGTGGGCCTATTATGAAACCATGTTACCAATTAAGTGAAATTTGGAGAATTTATGAAAGATGATTCTTTACTAGGAATCTTTGATTACATAGATTCATGGTGGGGTGATTCATGACATGTGATATAATCTTTTGGTTATGGCCGTAAACTCTACATAATTTAGTCCTTAAAGGATTTATCACCAGATTATATAATTGATGTCACCATAAGTTATGGTTTATAATAGCTTCACAACATGCAAACCTGATATCTTCCCTCTAACTTGATTTTAACTTCCTTTGGGATAGCACCTTCAACTCAGATATTTGGTTATCTAGTGAAGGCATGCATATTAAAGCTCATCTGAATCTTCTCTCCCTGGAGGTACTAAAAGAAAAGTAGGAACTTTTCTGATCATAGTAAAAAAAGGTAATAACTTATGGAGGTTTTATGTTTCTTTAATTTCATTTTATTTATTTGTCCAACAGTGGCCCATTTATAATGTTTATGTAGTTATATACTGTGCCTTAAACTGTTATATTTTAATTTATGCAAACTATAAAATTTCCCATAAATGCAAAAAATAAAATAAAATAAGCACAAGTCTTATAGAAGCTTATAAAATAAATTGACAACTTAATCAATACCATGCATTTGTGGAAGATCTTATGGGCTCAGAAAATGAAAACTCATTGTAAAGGGTAATAATGAAACTGTTGATAATTTCCATCTATTGAGTATTCCATGCCAGGCAGTTTATTAGGTGCTCTATGTATATTATGCCTTTTAGTTTTCAAAGCAAACCTATGATAAGACAACCCATATTTTACAGAAGAGAAAATTGAATCTGAGAGGGTTTCTCAGTACTAATGTTTTTAAAAACTATCTTCTTCACCAATAAGACATAGAAAGTTGTTAACTAAGAAATAAATGTCGCAGAAAGCTGAGCCACAAGAGTTCAGCTGCAAGGTAGGGTCCCAGTTACCTCTGCAGTGATTAACCTGCCTGGGGCAGTTTTTATAAAAATACTAGACCAAGAGCAGCATCCAAACTTTAGCGCGCCTGAGGAGAGATGGCTGGTTAGGGAAGAAGGGGATGCTTTACTTATTCAGATTAAAGCTAAATGGAAACCAAATAATGTCAAAAAAACAATGTCAGACAACTGGCAATGCAGTTGAAAGCTATTGGTGTAAAAAAATTCTGCTCCAACACTTATTGACTTAGATTTACTTGCATGACTAGAATATGCTAAAACAAAGATAGGTGTAATATATGTTGTGTGCTAACTTTTCCTTCCACCTTCTTTCTTGTCAGATAAAGGAGGTACTTCATCTTGCTTTGAGAACCAAATATAAGTGATAATTCATTTATTTTAATGTGAATGTTTTATTTGTTAACATTTTTTTTGCCATTGGTAAAATGGTATATTTAATCCATCCATGTTTTTTATAACTTTATGTTTAATTTTTACTGAGAGAATGATCTCAAGTAAATTTTACTCTTTTCTCAGTCTATCAAATTAAAACCTTGATGAATTCTTTACCTTTCATTCTAAAAGAGATAATATAAATAATTCCCATGTGTATGACTTTGAAACAATTGAATGAGAAGTATCTTTAATAGAGTAATATAAAAGTATGACAATCTGTATTATATATACTTCAAGGGCATCAGTCATGTTCTTCAGCTTATATTTTACTGTCCCTGTCAGAGACAATGTTGGTTCCACTATGATTCTACTGGTACCCTATAAAAATTTTCTCTGGTTACATTATGAATTTGGGGATTGCAGTTGCTTTGAGATGACCACAAACATTATACTGGTTTTCCCCTCTTAGTCCATGGACTAAAATCAATGCAGACTTTTGTTCTCTTTGACTTAGTTCCCAGCAATGGCTTTATTCCCAGTGGTGGTGGTTCTGGCTGCTGTGCTGCTTCCATCTTTATCTGCAGAAAAAACGGTAACTTAGAGTGGGAAATCTTCCCAGAGCTATTCACGCAGCTTTGTGGGATGGCAAGGCACTTGGAGAGTAGAAAAGGGCAAGAGTGTCTGGCATATCACAAAGTACTCACTGGATGCTCTTAACATCATTACCTAAATGAAAGTTTAAAGCTGTGCTGTGTAATACAGTAGCTACTGTCACATGTGGCTATTGAACAGCTGAAATGTGGCTTGTCCAAAATAAAATGTACTGTAAGTGTAATATACATACCGGATTTCAAAGATTTCATACAAAAAAAAGAAGAGGAAAATATTACATTAATTGTTTTTAGATTGAGTACATGATGCAATAGTATTTTAGATCATTGTAAATTTTGGCCATTCAGTTGTGTAACCCTCGTGGAACAATGCCCACGTTCTCCTCTACCTTCAGACAAAAAGCCCCACATGCCCACACACAAAGACGAACCAGAAAATAGCAACACCTGATTTAATACTTTAATTACACCTCTGGTAATAACATAAAAAAGTCAGCAATAGTCCATTAATTGGATGGCTTTGCTTCCTCCACATGCCTCAGAGATTGTTTAATATCACAAAGCTGTCTTTTGACTGACTTTATGTAATCTAACCACAATAGGTAGAATGAATTTTCTAGAATTTTGAATGCACTTCCACAAAGCCTAAACATTCTTTCCCTAAAATATTTTAAATACATTCTGTCTCTAAATACAAATACCACATCAGGTCACATTTCCCTCAAAGTTGGGATGAACCTTGAGCCATACCCTTATTCCCCCCGGTGTAGCCTGATCGAATGTAATGAATATATCTGAATGTTTCTATTGTGCACCTTTGTGGTTTTAAATATTATCACTCATCACTTTAAATATTGACTTCCTTTGAGGCTAGAAATGGGCATTTTTGGCCTTAAAGGATTTTTAAAAATTTGTCATGTCATGAATTACATTTTCATTCTCAAAGCTTCAAATTCCTCCTTTGCTGCTTGTCATAGCTTTGACTAAGATTCATCGGCAATGCTTTGCAACTAATATGCTTTAAACTGAACACCTTTTTAAAGTGATCCTTGCTTCCTTGAATTAATTGTTCAATATTATATATTAAAAAATGTTATTTTTTTAAAATTCTATTTTTTTCCTTTAGGACACAGTCTTTTCTTCTTTGTTAACCTCTCAAGCGCAAATACAAAGAGAGATTGTAAATAAACACAATGAATTAAGGAAATCAGTGTCTCCACCTGCCAGCAACATGCTGAAGATGGTAAGAGGCAGTAGTATAAGGAAAGTGGTAGGGACAAGTGGTGGTGAGATCAGGAAACTGGTAACTGGTGTTCATTACCAGCTTTGTGGCTTACAACATTCTGCTTGTTTTGCTATTTCATTTGAGCTGTGTTATGGGCAGGAAAGAAATTCTTAATTTTGTTTTATAATAGTTAAATAACTCATCAAGATTGGGCTATAAAGTTTGAAAGGCAGAATTAGAGGCTAAATCTTCAGGCATCAAATGTGAAGCTGTTACTTTTTTCTTTGCTATTTTCCCTAGTTTAAAATAAATCCTGTTTCTTTCAAGATCAGTGCCATTTAGGGTAAAAGTCCACTTTCCAAGGGATAGTCCTTGAAAGCTAAATATCTCCTATATGATATCAGCAGGCTACAAATGGTGTTGGGAATAATCTAGGCCAGTTTATTTCTACTGTTGAAATATAATTGTAATTATAATACTTTACATGTTGGTCAGTATTTAGAATACCACCATTACCCCTGACCTGTGGCTGCTGTGTGATCATAAATAATCAGATATCATTGCATTAGACTTTTGTTAGACACATTAGCTATAGACTGTTCTTGTGGGAG